CATCCCACACAATACTGCTTCTCATCAAGAACCCTCCTTAGTAGCAAAAGAAATAAGGCAATAGGCTGATGCTTTGGGGAGTCACTGATCTTACCATGCACCCAATGCTCTGTGGTGGCTGGCCTTATACAGCACTAACTGGCATTGGAGGGTTCAGAAAGCAAACCAGATGGGAGCCAGTATTTTATGAGATTGGTGTGCAGTCCTGGAGGGTATAGTTTCTCTTCTGAACCAGTAGTCGACATATGGCCCTGCTTCTTAACCAGAATTTAAAGGTTCAGGAACCAAGGAAATGAGGGTTCCTTAATCTGTGATTAAGCCTAATACCAGCTCTTTGCAATCAAAGTGAGATCTGTGGACCAGCACTGTTGGCATCATCTGGGAGCTCGTTAGAAATGCAGAATCTCAGAGCCCACCCCACACCTACTGGACCATAATCTGCATTTTAAGGAGATCCCCTGTTCATTCACATGCATGTTAAAGTTTGAGAATCACTAGTCTAACCCACTCACAACATTTCTGCTTCTCATCCTCAAACCTCTGATCTCTGCTTCTTAATGAGTTTAGTACTTGAGGGATGGATGCTTCCACCAGGGGATACAAGATGGTTTCAATGAAGCGGAAGCAGAGACTTACACTGTGTCCTGGTGGCTTCACAATACTCATGACAGCAGGAAATGGATGATAAAGGGGCTTATGGGCTTTGAGAGAGTAACTGATCCTAATTATCAAGGGGAACTAGGACTGCTCTTATACAACGAGGCAGAAAGAAGAGAGGATGGACGTCAAACAGCCTCGGGGGAACCTCCTAGTACTGTCTTGTTCAGGAGTAAAAGTCAATGGGTCATTACTACGGCCCTACAGAGGCAAAACTGCCAAGACCTCAGATTCCTCAGGAATGAAGGTTTGGGTCCCATTACAGGATAAGGAACCAATCCCACTAAGGCTCTAACTGAGGGCAATGGGAGCATGAATTGGATGGTGGAAGAGGAAAGCATCAGGAAAACCTGAGAAAGAGTTCAGAATTGGTGTCCTGTGTAGATGCAGCAAACCACCATCGCATCTGTACACCTATGTAACAAACCTGCATGTTCTGCACATGTACCCCAGAACTTAAAGTATAATAAAAAACAATAAGAATGACTCAGTGTTTGGAATGCTGAAAATTAAGGTTGGGTCCTGTCAGAACCAGAGAAGGAGAGGACTTTGCCCAGAGATACTGGGCCTGGAGCAGCACTCAGAAACTGATGGAATCTGGATTTGACAAGTGAGTGGGTTGCATAGAATTCTTGTTGGAAGCTTGTTGTTAAAGCCAGAATATGGTTAAAGGAGTGGGTGTGGACTTGGATGTAGTTTTGGGGCAGCCTAAGAGGCAGCTGCATTGGTTATTTTTCTTTTTCCTGACTACTCAGCATCCAAAGCATTCTAAAGCAGGGGACATTTCCCAACATGAGCATCTTTGTGGGAGGCAAGTCCTGTTATTCGGGCCCCTGTCCAGGACTCTGCAACGTCAGGCGATGCTTCGAAAGCACAGGCAGTCAGTATCCAAGATGTGACTTCAGCAGAGGCTTCTAAATCAGACCCTTTCCTACGGCGTGAGCTGGGCCGTCAGCACCACCCAGCATCCTTGGATCCTCCCCAGTTCCTGGGTATCTTTCTCTTGCTATCTAGTTAATTCTACAAATTCCCATAAATTCCCTTCTGTGTAAGTTTTCATCCCAAAACCTTGAATCCAGGTATAATAAGTTTGGTTGGAAAGACATAAGCAGCTATAAATGTCCTAAGCAATGTTTCTAAATTAGAGATCCTGTGAAAAATGCCCATTTTTATTTAGGAGATCTCCCTCTGCTTCCTGACCAGTCCTGGTGGTTCCCCTGTGTGGCCCTACGTGACATACCATGCCGCCTACTTGCAGCGGAACGCGAGTCAAAACTTCCTTCATGATAACCGTTTCTGTGTCTTTCACAGAAAGCCCAAGAGTCTTCAGTTCAAGCAAGCTCCCAGGTGATGTGGATAATGCTGGTCACTGACCACACCTTGGGTGTTGAGATCTAGAACACTAAAGACGTGTAGAGAAGCGGCTGGGAAGTAGGAAGGAGCAAGATCAAGAAGGGTGTTAAATGCTGTGTAATGAAGTTTGCACTCAATCTTGCAGGTGATAAGCAGCCATTAAATGACCTGGGGGAGTGAAATAAGTAGACTTCCATTTTTAAGTGGCACTGGATGTCATGTGGACAACAGAGTGGGAAAGGAGGGACAGGAGGCAGGAGAACCAGTTAGGAAGTGCGACAGGCACAACAGTGGCTCCCCAAAGATGTCCATGTCCTAATCCCCATATGGCAAATGGGACGTTGTAGAATTATTAAGTTAAGGACCTTCAGATGGAAAGATTATCCTGGATGGCCCAGGTGGGCCCCATGTAATCACGTGAATCCTCAAAGTAGAGAACTTTCCCCAGCAAGTCTGAGGGAGATGTGATTAAGGAAGAACAGCCAGAGAGATGCAACATTGCTGGCTCTGAAGAAGGAGGAGGAGGGGACACATGCCTAAGAATGCAGGAATACTGGAAAAGGCAAGGACATAGCCTCTCCACTGGGGCCACCAAACGGAGCACAGTCCTGCTTGATTTTAACCTAGTGGGACTTGTTGGACTTCTGCCCTTCAGAATTATAAAATAATATACAGGTGTTGTTTTAAGCCACTAAGTTCACGGTAATTTGTAATGCTGACAATAAAAAACTAATATAAAAGGCTACTGTAACCTTCTAGGGAAAATGATGAGAATCTCGTTTCTGAGAGTGGCAGCAGAGAGGGAAGACAGACCTGGTTTCGAAGATTATTCAGGAGATAGGGATGAGGGGACATAGTCACCAACAGGGTGGGTGTGGGTGTGGGGGTGTTAAGGAAATTCTCAGGTTTCTCCCTTGAATAAAATGGGTCCATTAGTCAAAAGGACTGCAGGAAGGAAACACAGGAGTGTGAGTGCAGAGAAAGGAGGCAGTTCTCTCCTGATACTTGGCTCCTTTCTTCAGATTCCTTTTTTGCCAAGAACCCTTCTCATCTTAACTCTTGCACATTCCCTACTGGGAAAAGCATGTGCTCAGCAGCCAACACAATGGCTGCTCTGCTCATCAATTATGGTTTTCACTCTAATGAATTGCCATTCTAGTCATAAACCAGGCTTCTGCGAGTTTAGTCAGAATAGAACAATTTACCAGGGTTTGATCTCTCTCAGAAGAGCTGACAGAGTTGTTTTTGCCCCTGCAAAGTGAGGATCAGATCTTATGCTACCCTGGTAAGGCCTCCTTCCCTGGCAAGGCCTCCTTCCCTGGCACAGCTTGCAAGCGGGAAAGAATTGGGAGAGTGAGGGCTAGAAGAGGCTGCCTAATGCTTTGCCCTGTGCCAAGTCAATTGAGAATCAGAAGGTTCTGTGCTCGCAATTTAACAGCTATTTATAGCGTGCATTCTGAGATTCCCTCACACATACCAAGGACCTGGTCTCCAGAGAAGAAATTGCCCCCCTCTGGAGCCCTCTGCTTAGGAACAGCAAGATGAAAGCCCAGGCAAGTCGTTCTGGGAAAGTGGGAGATTGTGGGGTGCAGGGTCAGTTCTAGTTGCAGTTGATCTGGAGATGCCTGGTTCCATCAAAAAGACCTCTTGGGAAATCTGAGAAAAAAAAATACTGACTTTCTAAGCTCACTTTGAATTGTTTCTTCACCTATGCCAAACCTGCCAAGGGACATCTGAGTAAAAGAGGCAAAGGCATGGCTATTACCCACCCCACTGTTTCGATGGGGACACTGAGGCTCTCAGAAGTTTAAGCTACTTGCCCAGCACTGCATGATTCAAATGTCAGTCTTGACTGATCTCAGTCTTCTGATGCCCAAAATCCACACCTTTTGCACTTTGAGTTTGTGTCCTATGTGGGGAAGGGTAGTACCCTTCCCTCACCACCTACCCAGCAGGTCTCTCTCAGTCAGCAGTAGTCTAATGGTTCTCCTGCATGAAGGTACCCAGCACATCCAGGGCTGGTGACTGGGCACCCAGATCATCCAACAGTAATTGATATTACCCTTCAACCAGTATGTCCTCCCAGATCCCCTTCTTATGTACTTGCCTTCTGCAATGTGCTACAGAAAACATATAGGGACTGGGTGCTGTGGCTCACACCTGTAATCCTAGCACTTTGGGAGGCTGATATGGGCAGATCACCTGAGGTCAGGAGTTCAAGACCAGCCTGGGCAACATGACAAAACCCCGTCTCTACTAAAAACACAAAAATTAGCCAGGTGTGGTGGCACATAACTGTAAGCCCAGCTACTCAGAAGGCTGAGGCTGGAGAATTGCTTGAACCCGGGAGGCGGAGGTTGCAGTGAGCCAGGATTGCATCACTGCTCTCCAGCCTGGGTGACAGAGTTGGACTCCATCTCAAAAAAAAAAAAAAAAAAAAAAAAAAGAAAAAAAGAAAAGAAAAGAAATATAAGATGATGAAAATCTCCTGTCCTCAAAAGTTTATAGAGCAACAGAGCCTGAACCGTGGAGTCGGAATGAAAGAAATGGAATGGGGACAGAGTTGCATAACCAGGAACCAAACCCAGCTCTGCCAGACTTTAGGACCCGTGCTCCTGCCCTCAATGCCGGACTGTCTCTCAGTCATGGTGCTTGATAGTCTACAGAGTGTTTTCCAGACAAATAATCAAGGCTGAGACAGGTGAAGTCACTTGTGGCTTGTGGTTTGTGGCAGAGCTGAGAGACCTCCAATTCCAGATGTCACCACCCCTTGCTGTACCTCCCTGCTTTCCTCACCTCAACACTCTAGGTCTAGGCAGGGGAAGGTCTAGACAGGAAAGAGAACTCCTGAGATGCCTCATGAGAAATGTGATGAAGAGACTCCTTTTCCCTGTTTCCAGTGCTATGGCAAGGAGGGCATCCTCTTCCCCCAACATTCATACCCCACCTCATTCCAGCCAATTGCTTCCAAAACACACAGTGCTACTTACATATTCCTTAATGTCCTTTGATTTCACAGCCTTGTAGGAATAATACGCAGGGTAAAGGGTGCCAAATATAAGCCTGGAGGGAAGAGAGACAAAGAGAAATATGATTTTTCATTCACCTTATTTAATGGAAAATGTCTGTCTTCAATGCCAAGAGCAGTTCTCTAAGCTAAAGAAAGTGCTGTGAGGCTTGATTTATTTTTGTGAATGCCCTGAAGGTGTTCTGCTCATGGCTGGGGCGTCCTTGGGCACTTCTATCTTCTGTTAAAGCCCACACCCACCTTCCTTCAATCTGTGGTTTGGCAACATGGAAGGGTGGTTTGGGGTCATGGAATACCCTCTGAAGCTCTATTAAGCCTGCAAACACCTCAGGCTTCTTTCTCCAATAAAACCTTTTCCTTCAAATTTCACTCCCCTCGGACTTGATCTCACCATCCTGCAGCCAGAATAAACTCTTAATATTTCATATTGTAAATCCAATCAGGCCAAACCTCTTCCTACCGATACATCCCCATCTTGCATTAGCCTGTTTCTCATTGCTCTTAAGGTGAAGAAGCAAAAATGCCAGCAGCGTGACAGTGTTTGGGCAGCAGCTCTCACTGATCTACGCCCAGGGCTGCGTTGGGTCATTAAATGATCTCATGCTCAGCTCTGCCTCTCAGGACCTGCGCAGCAGAGCTCTCTCTACTTGCCCTCATTCTCTCCACCATGCACTATCCCCCGCCCAGAAAGCCTTTGCCTGTGCTGTTTCTCCTTCTGGAGTCTTCCTTCCCTCCTTCTTTGTCTGGTTAATGCCTGTTCATCCATCATATCCCAGCTCCAGTATGACTTCTTCCCTGGCCTCTCTAACTAGCTCAAACTTCCCCATTACACTCATAGCACAATATACCTGTTATCAGGGTGTTCTTTTACTATTGTTTGTGTGATGCTTTGATTGACAGCCCTCTTTCCACAGAACTGTATGTGCCTCAAGGGCAGAGAATGGATTTGTTTTGCTCAACACTGTGTTCCCATAACCTACCACCCCAGAGTAGGTTCTCAACAGATGTTTGTAAATGAATGAATTGAGCTGGAGGTTTAATCTTTTCACCTGACAGATGAGGTCACCCCAGGTGCCAACTCAGGGTCAAGCTGACTGGGTGCAGGAGCAGGCCTGGCCCAGGCACTATAGAAGGTGGCATCTTCTGTGACAACCCCACAGATGGAGATTTCAGGGTCCCTGCAAGGAGCCAGCCTAGTTACAGAAGACACCACCCTGAAGAAACCCAAAGCCGTGGTTCACTGGGTATTGAGAGGCTGTACGGAGAACTCCTAGTCCAGAAGCAATTTACCAAGCAGGGGTCAGCTTTACCATGAGCACTGTTGCCAGGGAACACCCTGACATTCCACAATCATCAGGTTTCCAGGGAAAACAAAGTTAACAGAACTAAGTCCATTTGTGCCCCTGAAAGGGAGAGGGCTGTTAGCTCTTGGCTCACATAGGCCTCGTGTGAAGTGCTTTACAGCTTTATCCCACTTAGGCTGCCTTGTCTCAGGGAACCCCTTTTACAGACAGGACTCCAATGCATGGAGCAGCCAGTCACTTACTTGTCTAAGGCCTTGTGACCAGCAAGGGGTAAGGCAGGGGCTGGAGCACAGTCAGGCCACCCTCCTCCAAACCTGGCTTCTTGTCACCACTGTACACTCCCTTGGGGAGCCACCCACCCTCCAGGAAGGCTGAAATGACCTGTGTGAGGAGCAGGATGAGCCAGTGAGGGGACAAGAGAGTAGTGGAAGGAAGGGGAAAAGGTAGGACATGGGGTGAGGGAGAAACATTTAAGAGAGGGTAGTGCCAAAGACAGCAGCCAGGTCATGGGGGAGGCAGCTGGGGAAGCCCACTAGGTTTGGTCACTGTCCCCTTTGGTGAGGAAGGTCCCCCACTCTTCCACACTGCCTCCTTGCCTGCCCCCTCCCAGGCATTCTGTTATCCATGAGGCTCTCTTCCTCGGGGAGGCCTTTCCTGACCTGGTCACCCCTGAAGATTGGGCTCTTCTCCCTTTTTAGCTCCTGTACCTGACCCTTTCTCTTGTCCACCGTGTCCACTCAGTAAGCTCAGGGTCCATCTCTCCCACAAGACTGTGTCTTCCACAACGCCAGGGTTGGCGTCCCTCATTCATCACACACCCCTGTGCCCTGCACAGCAGGAAGGGCTCAATAAGTACGTGTTCACTGCGTGAAGTATCAGAACAGGGAAGCTAAAGCCGCCACCATCCAGGGAATGCTCGTGACCTTGGGACGGAGGTCTTGGCAGCAAGGTGGACGCCAGATAGCACCAGGCTGATTCAGCAAAGCCTCGGGCACAACGCCATGGACTCGGGGGAAATAAATACACTGCTCCTCAGGCACAGCTGGCCTGGTTATTACCCAGGTCTGCCAGGATGGATTCCAGCCCCTGCCCTGGGGCAGCATGTAAACAGCAGAGGAGAGACAGGTGAAAAGTATGGCACTACCCAGCAGCCCACTGATGGGATCCCCATGAACCCCAGTGGGTCATGACACCCTCTGAGTGGTCACGGAGCAGGGAAGGCACAGCAGGGAGGCCTGTGCTAGGTTGGCTGGACTCTTCTGGAGTGAGCAGGTTGCCAGCATCCTCCGCCTGACAGCACAAGGTCCCTCCACACATGAGTTTTCTTTTCAGTTTCTAAAAGCTCAATAACACTTAGCATCTCACTGCCCCGGGGAAAGGGAAATGGGATGAAAATGTCCAGTTCTTTACCTATTTTGGAGGTAAGAAATAACAAAGGAAGCAGGCCCAAGTCAAAGGGGCTTGGTACTTCTGCCCCTCCAGACCAAGTGCTCCCACAAGGCCCTTCTCCACCAGCCCCACTGGCCTTGGTTCCCACCCCTCCCTCAGCCTCAGGTTCATACAGCCAGCAGCCAGCAGCTGTCCCCTGATAAGCCACATTCGCTTGCAGTCTGTGACTTCCTGGCTGCTCTTTCTTCTGTCTGAATGTTAGCACAGGATCTTCCCCCCAATCCCACAACTCTTTTGTTTTTCCTGTTAAAGCCTCACTAATCCTTTAAGACCCATCTCCAAAAGGCCACTTCTTCTGTGAAGTCTTTGGTTACTCCCCCTCAATTATCTTGATACTGTTTAAGCCTGTGACAGGCCTTATGTAGTAGTAGCAAAAATAACACATTTAAAATAATATAATATTATAACATTGAGTGTTTACTAATGCCAGGCACTGTTCCACAATCTGTACTCACTCTTTCAATTAATTCTCTCACATGCATAGGGAAAAAAAGAATTCTTACTACTCCATTTTACAGACTGGGACACTGGGGCTTAGCATCATTATTCATTTACCCAAGGAGACACAACAGCCAGGTGCAGAGCTGGGATCTGAATGCAGGCAGCCTGACAACGGGGCTGCCTGTGCTGGCTGAGTCTGTCTCCTTAGTCAGATCGTATAGTACTGGGCAATCAGGAGGGTCCCTCATGCCTGGCACAGCACCTACCCCTTTAAGTGGGTGCTTGAAATGTCTGTTGAGTAATAAACAAGCAATTTCAATATCTCACCAGCCCACTAGCTAGACTCACATAACTTTCTACAAAGTTAGAAAAAAAGTGGTAAAATGGAAGGGTCTAAAGCTCCTTCAATGCTCAAGGTGGGCTCAAGCGAGGGAAAGTGGAAGGCTGGAGTGCCATCCTCTAGACAGACCAGGCTCTGCATTCACACTTCTCTGGATTATCTCTGCAGGGAGCTCGAACCTCACAGCTCTGCACCCATCCTCCCTTCTCCCCACTGTCACTAACTGTTACCCCGAAGCCCCGTCCCTGTGTAAAGCCTCCATGGATCTGCCTGCAGCGTTTCCCCTATCTTTGCCTTTCACTTTTCCTCGTGCTCCAAGTTAGGGGTCTTCATCCAGGTTGCCTCTCCACTCGCCTCCTCCGCAGCTGCGGCATCCAGAAAGGCTCATGAGTCTCATGTGAATACTATACTCCAATGCAGTGGTTCCCCACTGGGGTGATCATTTCCCAGGGTAATCTGGGCAATGTCTGGAGACACTCTGTTTGTCTGAGAGGGTGCTACTGGCAGCCAGTGAGCAGAGGCCAGGGACACTGCTAAACATCCCATCATGCACAGGACAGCCCCTCTCAACAAAGAATCATCCAGCCTAAAATGTCAATTGTGCCACTGCTGAGAAACCTAGTCTCTAGACTAGTGTGTTGTTTCCTGATCCTTCACCTGGCCATCAAGAGTCATTTTTTTGAACACCAAGGGCCATTTTATTGAACCCAACAGTTTTAAAAAAAGTTCAGTGTCTCAGGAAACACTGGAAATGCTCCAATGAGGGGGATGGCCCCAAATGGTAAAGACCACATACTTAGCCTGTTGGCCAATGTCAGGGAAAACACAGCTCTCAAGCTGCTTACCAACTTCTTGGAGCTCTGTCCAGAAGAGAGAGATTACTCACATGAATTAACCGTAATGTCACTGAGGAGAGCTGCTCACCATTCCCCAGGGCCTGCAGGGTAGCTATTGCTGGCCTAGGACACAGCTACAAGCTGTGGCACTGCAGTTGCTGATTGTGGCCAAGTCCTCTGCAAACCATGAAACAAACCAATATTTTCCACGGTCTTCTCAGGGATCCTAGAGTTGCACCAACATGTCACTATCCCAAATTGTGCTGAAAATTTAAAAATCGATGCCAGTAATTTTTTTTCTAAAATTAACTTTTTAAATGTAAGAGAAATAACAAGCCTATTTATATAGCTGTTTATATCATTAAAAAACAAATCACACTGAAGAAATTGTATGCCACCCAAGGGATTCTGGAATGATCTGTTTCTTGACCTGAGCACTTGTTTTATAATTTCAAATGTATATCAAACTGTACCCATCTTCTTTCATAACTTTTTTTTTGAGATAAAGTCTTGTTCTTTCGCCCAGGCTGGAATACAGTGGCATGATCTCTGCTTGCTGCAACCTCTGCCTCCCAGGTTCAAGCAATTCTCCTACCTCAGCTTCCCAAGTAGCTGGAATTCCAGGTGTGCATTACCACACCCAGCAAATTTTTGTATTTTTAAGT